TTTGACCCGTGTGGCCACTAAAAGTCTCTGCTTAGTTAGCTTCATGGTCAGCTAATTATTAGCAAAAACTTATTTCTGTTCCCGGTATTTTTATTGGGAATATGTTACAGTTATTTATTAACTTGGAATAAGTGGAATATTTATGATGTTGAGTCATTGAGTCATTTTGTCCAAGAATGTGTATATGCATATATATCTACGTGTGTGTGTGTATGTCTCACATATATATGAGAGTTTACAGACATGTTTTTAAATTGCTATACAACTCATGATACTTTTTTTAAACAAATTTTATTTACAAGCTCTGTTCACTGAAAGGGCCTACACCCAAATAATGATGTACAAACTGTTGGTTTCTAAATACTAGTCCCCATTTAAAGGAATTAGAGCATCTTGGAGCTGATTCCAGCTCAGTAGGGAAAGTGCACAATGAGCCTGCACACACCTTGTGTTAGAAAGCAAACAACTTGTGTTAGAAAGCAAAGAAGTGCTCAAAGACTAATGGTGACTTCTTAAAAAGAAGCTGGCTTGAAGGGACCCCTACTATCCAAATTGTAGATAATTTGAGCATCCAAAAAATAATGGCAGAGGGTTGAAAAATTACCTATTGAGTACAATGTTTACTACACTAAAAACCCAGACTTCACCACTATGTCATACATGCTGTAAGAAATCTGCACTTGTGCTTCTTAAATATATTTTTTAAAAAATAATGACAGAGGCCAGGCATGGTGGCTCATGCCTGTAATCCCAGCACTTTGGGAGGCTGAGGTGGGTGGATCGTGAAGTCAAGAGATCAAGACCATCCTGGCCAACATGGTGAAACCCCGTCTCTACTAAAAATAAAAAAATTAGCTGGGTGTGGTGGCACATGCCTGTAGCTACTCGGGAAGCTGAGGCAGAAGAATTACTTGAACCTGGGAGGCAGACATTGCAGTGAGCCGAGATCGCACCACTGCACTCCAGCCTGGTGACAGTGCGAGACTCCATCTCAAAACATAATAATAATGACAGAAATATCAACTTAAAATTCATGACCCCATAGTAATGCTCAAGATTATAAGAGAAAAATAAAGGAAAGAAGAAAGAGAGACAGAGGAGGGAGAAAGAGAGGAGAAATGAATTTAGGAAGGAAGGAAGAAAAGGAGGGATGAAGGAGAAAAAAGGATGCTCTTTTCCAGAAAAATACCACCTTATATAAAACGAATCATAGAATTAGAAATTTATGATTTTGTAATCCTCCTTGTAATAATTGATCCTGGTAAAGATCATCAGTGGATATTAAAACTAGTAGGTGAAAGCCAGGCATGGTGGCTCACGCCTGTAATCCCAGCACTTTGAGAGGCCAAGGTAGGCGGATCATGAGGTCAGGAGTTTGAGACCAGCCTGACCAACATGGTGAAACCCCATCTCTACTAAAATACAAAAATTAGCTGGGCGTAGTGGTACATGCCTGTAGTCCCAGCTACTCAGGAGGCTGAGGCAGAAGAATCGCTTGAACCCGGGAGGTGGTAGTTGCAGTGAGCCGAGAATATACCACTGCACTCCAGCCTGGGCGACAGAGCAAGACTCCATCTCAAAAAAAAAAAAAACTAGTAGGTGAAAGCTTATTGGGAAATGGGATAGTCTCAAGATTTCAAATCACCACCCACAGAAAGGAAACCATACCTTTGTACTGGAGGGATCTCCAGTGGCAGTCACCACCTTCAGCAGATGATCAAATTTTGCATCACTAATAGTGCTACAACCTGATATTATGTGCAAGTAAATTTTTAACAGGCTTTCCAAAAACAACAACAACAAAAAAAACTGAGAGGGACCAAATTTGTAACATGAGCCAAATTCTATGGTGTTAATACTCCCATCATGGCCAATTTCAAGTTACAAATATGATATCACTATTCAGAGTTGTCAAGAGATGCTAACAATCAGCTTACCTATGAGCCTGCTCCAGTGTAACAATGTATGTATGTAATATATATACAAAAATAAAAGTGCAGAAATAAATATATGTATGTATTTATTTATTGAGACGGAATCTTGCTCTGTCACCCAGGCTGGAGTGCAGTGGTGCATTCTCAGCTCATTGCAACTTCTACCTCCTCGGTTCAAGCGATTCTTGACTAGCTGGGATTACAGGCACACACCACATGCCAGCTAATTTCTTGGATTTTTAGTAGAGACAAGGTTTGCCATGTTGACCAGGCTCATCTCGAACTCCTGACCTCAAGTGATATGCTCGCCTTGGCCTCCCAAAGTGCTGGGATTACAGGCATGAGCCACCATGCCTGGCCCTTATTTATTTCTTTATTTATTTGAAATGGTCTCACTCTGTCAACTAGGGTAGAGGGCTGTGGTGCAATCATAGCTCTCTATAAGCTTGAACTAGGGGCTCAAGCGATACTTCCACCTCAGCTTCTCGAGTAGCTGCGACTTCAGGTGCACACCATCATATGTGACTAATCTTTTCTTTTTTTTTTGGTAGAGATGCGGGTTTCACACTTTGGGATGCCAAGGTGGGAGGACTGCTTGAGCCCAGGAGTTTAAGACCAGCCCTGGCAACACAGTGAGACCACATCTCTACAAAAAATTTAAAAATTTTTGTAGCAGTAAGGTGATATCGCATTGTGGTTTTGATTTGCATTTCCCTGATCATTAGCAATGTTGTTTTTTTCATATGTTTGTTGTCCATCTATGTTAGTATATCTTCTTTTGAGAATTGTCTGTTCATGTGCTTAGCCCACTTTTCGATAAGATTGTTTTTTTCTTGCTAATTTGTTGGAGTTCATTGTAGATTCTTGATATTAGTCCTTTGTCAGAAGCATAGATTGTGAAGATTTTCTCCCACTCTGTGGGTTGTCTGTTTACTTTGCTGACTGGTTCCTTTTGCTATGCAAAAGCTATTTAGTTTAATTAAATCCCAGCTATTTATTTTTGTTTAAATTGCATTCGTTTTTGGGTTCTTGGTCATGAAATCCTTGCCTAAGCCAATGTCTAGAAGGGTTTTTCTGATGTTATCTTCTAGAATTTTTATAGTTTGAAGTCTTAGGTTTAAGTCCTTGATCCATCTTGAGTTGATTTTTTTATAAGGTGAGAGATGACAATTCAGTTTCATTCTTCTATATGTGGCTTGCCAATTATCCTAGCACCATTTGTTAAAGAGGGTGTCTCTTCCCCACGTTATGCTTTTGTTTGCAAGAATGGCCATAATTTAAACATCAAAATATAATGGATGTTGGTGTGGATATGATGAACAGGGAACACTTCTACACTGCTGGTGGGAATGTAAACTAGTACAACCACTATGGTAAACAGTGTGGAGATTCCTTAAAGAACTAAAAGTAAAACTACCATTTGATCCAGCAAAACCACTACTGGGTATCTACCCAGAGGAAAAAAAGTCATTATATTAAAAAAAAAAGTTGCACACACATGTTTATAGCAGCACAATTTGCAGTTGCAAACATGTGGAAACAACTGAAATGCCCATAAATCAACAAGTGGATAAAGAAACTGTGAGATACAAACACACACACACACAACACGATGGAATACTACTCAGCCATTCATTAAAAAGGAATGAATTAATGGCATTTGCAGCAACCTGGATGGGATTGGAGAGTATTATTCTTTTTTTTTTTCTTTGAGAGAGTCTCGCTCTGTCACCCAGGCTGGAGGGAAATGGCGCAATCTCAGCTCACTGCAACCTCCACCTCCTGGGTTCAAGTGATTCTCCCTGCCTCAGCTTCCCGAGTAGCTACGATTACAGGCACCCGCCACTACACCCAGCTAAATTTTGTATTTTTAGTAGAGATGGGGTTTTGCCATGTTAGCCAGGTTGGTCTCAAACTCCTGACCTCAGGTGATCTGCCCGCCTTGGCCTCCCGAAGTGCTGGGATTATAGGCGTGAGCCACCGTGCCTGGTCTGGAGACTATTATTCAAACTGAAGTAACTCAGGAATGGAAAACCAAACATCATGTGTTCTTACTCATAAGTGGGAGCTAAACTATGAGGATGCAAAGGCAAAAGAATGGTACAGTAGACTTTGGGGACTCGGGAAAGGCGGAAGGGGGTAAGGGATTAAAGACTACAAATCAGGTCCACTGTATACTGCTTGGGGGATGGGTCCACCAAAATTCTGCAAATCACCCCTAAAAACTTACTCTTGTAACCAAATACCACCTGTTCCCCAAAAGCCTATGGAAATAAAAAAATTAGTAAAATTAATAAAAATTAAAATAAATTAAAATTTAAAAATTATCCAGGTGTGGTCCTAACTACTCAGTCAACTGAATTGGGAGGATGGCTTGAGCCTGGGATGTTGAGGCTGTAGTGAGCCATGGTCATGCTGTTATGCTCCAGCCTACACAACAGAGAAAGACCCTGTGTCCAAAAAAAAAAGACCTGGACTTTACAAAAAATTCAAAACAATAACAAAAAAGGGCAAATGTGCCTTTTCTATATTAAAATATACTAAAGAGGTAAACAATCAAATACAATGCATACATAAATCTTGATTAACTTCTAGATCTAAACTAAAAAACATATAAAAACATTTGGGGGTGACATTTTGGGAAATGAAAATATTGACCATACATTTGATGACAGTGAATTAGTGTTCATATTATTGTGTGTGATATCCTGTTTCTTACATAGCAGAATGTTCTCGTATTCTTAGGATACATGCTGAAATATTTAGGGGTGAAGTCCAGTGATGCCTATACATCAACAGAACAAAATAACCATATATGGAAGGTGAGGAAGGAGAGGGAGAGAGAGAAAAGGCAAATGTAACTAAATGTTAAGCACTGGTGAATCCAGGTGAAGTGTATGTATATAGGTATTTGTTGTATTATTCTTTCAATATAGCTGTAAGTTTGCAAATTTTTAAGGTAAAAATATTGAGAGAAAACTTGATCCCTAGCTTTAGAGATATCTTACTACTTCTTAGGCTATTGATTTTTAAATTTGTCTTTTATTACTTTCTATTTTAATGCAGATTCCTGTATCAAGCCTAAGGGACACAGTCCTGGAACTAGCAGTGTTTGATCAACATAGGAGAAAGTTTGATAATTTCAGTTCACTAATGCTAGAATGGAAATCCTCTAGTGAAACACTAGCCCATTTCGAAGATGATAAATCAGTGGAAATGGTAGCAAAAGATGATGGCAGTGGGCAGACCTGGTTACATGGTATTGTGAAAATTTACAAGTCTTTTTGTATACCTGAGTGGTTCTACAATTATTTTCTTCCTTCCTTCTTCTTTCTCTTTCTTTTTTTTTTTTTTTTTTTTTTTTGACAGAGTCTCGCTCCGTTGCCCAGGCTGGAGTGCAACGGCAGTATCTCGGCTTACTGCAACCTCCACCTTTGGGGTTCAAGCAATTCTTGTGCCTCAGCCTCCTGAGTAGCTAGGACTACAGGCACATGCCACCATGCTCAGCTAATTTTTTGTATTTTAGTAGAGACAGGGTTTCACCATGTTGCCCAAGATGATCTCGAGCTCCTGAGCTCAGGCAATCCACCTGCCCCAGCCTCCCAAAGTGCTAGGATTACAGGCATGAGCCGCCACATCCAGCCCTAAATATTTTCTTATGGGAAAGAGTTTTATTTTGGATTTTATCACATATCACCTTTTATCTTTGACCCTTGTATTTTTTAGAAAACATAAAGGCAGTTTTCCTTGTTTACAAAGCTAGGGCTGAGGAGCCAACATTAAATTAATTTTAAAATGTATTTATTTTTCTTTAGACACAGGGTATTTTTCTGTCTCCCAGGCTGGAGAGCAGTGGAGCAGATCATAGATTAATACAACCTCAAACTCTTGGACTGAAGTGATCCTCCTGCCTCAGCTTCTCTAGTAGCTAGGACTGTAGGTGCATGCCACCAAGACAAGCTAATATTTTAATTTTTTGTAGAGACAGGTTCTCACTATGTTGCCCAAGCTGGTTTCAAACTCCCAGCCTGAAGTGATCCTCAACCTCAGCCTCCCAAAGTGCTAGGATTACAGGCCTGAGCCATTGCACCTGACTTCTCTTCTCCTCTCCCCTCCCCTTCCCTCCCCTCCCCCCTTCCCTCCCCTCCCCCCCTTCCCCCCTCCCCCCTTCCCTCCCCTCCCCCCCTTCCCTTTCCTCCCCTCCTCTTCCTTCCCCTCCCCTCCCCTCTCCTCTTTCTTAATTGCCCAAGGGCTTATTAAGCTTCTGCTTGTGTCACTTTTGCTGATGTCCCATTCACTAATGCAAGCTACTCCTCCCCTTCCCCTCCCCTTCCCTCCCCTTCTCCTTCCCTCCCCTTCTCCTCCCCTCCCCTTCTCCTCCCCTCCCCTCCCTTCCCCTTCCCTCCCCTTCCCTCCCCTTCTCCTCCCCTCCC